TAAAAGTAAATAAAGGTGGGATTTCTTTTTATAAAAAAGAAAAGCAAATTGTAAGCGGGATTTTTATTAATTAAAAAATAATAAAATATTTAAAAAAAAAAAAAAAATCTGAAAAATTTCGAAGATTTTGCTATAAATAGAAGAGAAAATCTGAGAAGAAAAAGAGAGAAAGGAGAGAAAAGAGAGGGGAGAATTGAGAGAAACAATTTTTTTTTTTTCTTCTACGCTACGATAATTTCTACTCGTGTTATTCTTTCTTCCTCTTTCTTTCGAAAATTTTCAGCAATTCAACACCCCAAAACCCAACAAAAAAATACTTCAAAACATCCCCTTTTACACGCCAAAGAGTGGTGTTAACAGTCGAGGTCGAGGATTCCGTTGGAGCTCTGTTCACCGGCTTTGATGATCATCTTTGCTTATGCTTGTTCGGCGTTCGTCTGAGTTATTGTACATATTCTTGGAGACTCATTTAATTGGAAATCTTGCATTCAAAGGTTTATTCTTCCCTCTTTTTTTTTATCTTATTTTATGTGATTTTATTTATTTATCTTTAAACTTTATAAATAATAATGTAAATCAATCCTTAAATGTTATATGTTTAATCATGTTTCTGAAAATATAGTATTTAAACTTGCTAAAAGTTTGGAAGATTTGGACACTAATAAGTTTAGGCTTCAATTGTTGGGACGTAGGGTATTGGTATATGATAATTTATTTATTCAAATATCTAAAATAATACACTTTTTCACAAACAATTCCATAACTTTTGGCCTTACAATAATCTTAAATTAGTTTAGGAAAATACTTCAAGTGCGCTAGTTTATTTAGGTGCGCTTTAAATAATTAAATATCATGGCTATGTGTATGGTCTCCGTGACATAATTGTGATATATAACAAAATAAGTATTAGAACGCGTAACTTATTTCAAGATAACTTTTTTTTTTCTTCATAATTTTAATCAAGCAATAAAGTAGACATAGGTAAAAGATGAGAACCAATAAAACACAAGTTATCCAAAAAATAGTATAAGCCAAATATAGTCAATAAAGCGACCGTGCTAGAACCACGGGACTCGGGGAATGCCTTACACCTTCTCCCCGGTTAACAGAATTCCTTACCCGGACTTTGTTTTCGCAGATCAATAATAAAAGAGTCAAACTTTCCTTTGAATAGGAATCAAATAAAAGGTGACTTGGAACACCCAAAAATCAATTTCAAGTGGCGACTCTGAATAACAAAATAATCCCTATTTCAAATTTGTCACTTTAATTGGAAAAAACTCTTTAACCCACAATTCATAACACACATTATCTTTTGGAGGGGTTAGAACAGGCGTGTGACAATTGATGATCAGAGAATTCGAACAATTTCGAATTTACCTCAAATTAATAGAAATTAAATCTTATAATCACTCATCCCAAATGTCAGTGACTGTTTTTCATCCACTTCCTATTCCTTTTTTTAAAAAAAAAAAAAAATTCATTTGGTGTTTGATATTGGTATCGAGGCTTGACTAAATTTAAATACGCACCAAAAAGTCCCACGTTATGCCAACTTGCCAAGGATATGTTTTACCACTTATCTTAAAATCTATATTTTCAGATCTAGATTTTCAGATGTCGGCATTGGACTAGCATTAAAATCTATAAATACAGAGTGCAAAACAGAAAACCTCTTCCTAGTACCCGTGTGGCCAAAATTGCGTTTTACCACTTATCTTAAAAAATCTCACTGTCGGTATTGTACTAGCATTAAAATCTATAAATGCAGAGTATAAAACAAAAAAACCTCTTCCTAGTCCTGTGGCCAAGAATGTGTTTTACCACTTACCTAAGCTTACAAATCTAGATTTCCAGATGTCAGCATTGGATTGGCTTACAAATCTATAAATACAACGTCTTTGTAAAACGAAAAACACACATCCATAAGCAATTGTAAGATCTCTAAGAGTTTAAGTTAATTGTGTCCACTACTTGTTTCTAAATATTTCCAAGTTCAAAAGCAAAAAACCATGGACGAAAATCAGAAATTGAGCTACGATATTGGCGTAGCTAAGGGCCAAGCCCAGGTTTGCATTAATATTCACTATCTCTTCCATGCGATTTTTAATTTTAGTTGGTGATTTTTTTATCAGTTTAAATATTGATGATAGAGTTATCGCATGCAAGTTGACCCAGATATCATTACAATATAAAAAATCATGGTACAATCTTAGTTTTACTACTTTCATTCCATCGAGTAGGGGCGCGTTTTAGCATGTTTCTCGACATAGGTTCTATAGGAGTTTTTATTTATTTATTTAAACATTCCATTTAGTGAGCTTATATTTAATAAAGTTGATGAAAATAATAGGAGACCATGACTTTAAATAACAAATAGAGATAATAAATATTTGTTGGATCTGTTTAAGTATTAATGAAAAAAAATATACGGTATTTGCATTGGTGAAAACATGTAATGGATTTCGGGCACTACCAGTATCGTTTTGGAACGGAAAAACTCTTCATTTCTGCATGAAATTTGTCTTATTTTTTACTCTAGATGTCTATACGAGTATACGTAAAAGAAGTTTAATTGTTTTATCAACTACTTCCTAGATAACACTGTGATATTTTATGAATTTGCGATGCATCAGGAAAAAGGTAATCAATTGATGGAGAAGGTTGGGACTGCTGTGCAGTCTGCCAAGGAAACAGTGCAAGAGGTTCGGACTTTGTTAATTATTCATTTATCAATCAAACATCACGAGAACTTGAAGTTTATGAGTTTTGAATATGCCACAGTATTCATAGTTAGTCTTAGCAATTAAATATTTATAAATATTTAATTGATTTTTTGTATAAATACAACGTTTAAGCAAAAGTAACTGGGTCCAGTCGAACTCGCATACTATAGGCTAGCTCCGCCTCTAGATCCGTCCTGTGAGGATCAGAGCAAAACACATTCATGAGATATTTACACAAATAGCCGACTGAATTCACTATTTATTATTCTTATCCGGTATACATAGATTATATATCCGCCGGCTATTTTTAGTTTAAGCGGTTATTTAGATTAGTTCTTCAAAATTCATTTAGTCTATATAAATAATTTATTCAGAGCTCGATAACCTCTTCTTAGAGTTTAATCCCTTTTAACAAAAAATCTTAGCATCAACCCACCATCTGCAATAAATCTAAACTTTTGAAGCTTATTTATATTAAAAATATTCTTTTTAATTTTGGTGATATTTTGATATAGGTGGGGCAGCAAGTGAAGACCAAAACACTAGTAACAGCAGATGCCGTTACAATGCCACTGGCATGAACAAATAAACCACGTTAATTTCTACCATATTATCGTTTATGAAGATCTTAATTTCTTCTACTTCAATTGGGTTACCAATTTATGTTGCTTAAGTTTGAATTATTGGTGAGAACTTCTGCGGTTCTGAATAATATTTAAGAAGCAGCGTCTCTAATAATGTTTTGTTCTTATTATATCAGAACTTTTCTCAAGATTACAACGACAACCTGAAGGAAATAATAATTACTATTTCTTATCAATAATATTCCTTCATCTATTACGGAATTAAATGTTTTTTACATGATAGTTTTATTTATGCGTCAAATAGTATGGAAACAATTTCGTATAACCACTAATGATTTGACTAGGGGAAAATGAGCATATGAAAATATTATGTGTTTTATTTGGGGTTTTAACATGTTTCATATAAAGGTGTCTTATTTTTGCATTAATTGCTACTTCATTATTTTTATTGATTAGCGTACTCTGTATTTGCTTCTCTCGATGGCTAACTAATAATGGACCACAAATAAAAATTGGATCTCCCGTCAAATATCCTTAGCGCCACAATTTTCGTAAAGTTTTACGGGCAAATTAGAACAATTTCGCAAAGTTCAAGGGTAACTTTAAACTTTTACAAAGGACATGTATTGAAAAACTTTCGCTAGTAAATAAGCATACTTAGATTTTAGACCAATTTTATATATAACGGCAGGGACAAATTTGATCGAAACTATTAATGGATGGCATAGTTGAACAATTTCACAAAGTTCAATGGCATATTTGAACCTTAACCCTATTTATTTATAATGATGGAATAGAATAATTGTGATTAATCCAAACTCATTTGCCTTAATTTAATTGGTGCTTTTGAATTACAAACCAAACTCATTTATCTTATGATCATAAGCTTCCATTTTAACTCGCCGAAGTGTGTTATTTATAAACTTGGCAAGCATGTATTGTGTCACGACCCATATTCCATCAAATTGTAATGATATCTAACCCAACTTGCAAATCAACCAACACAGAAGTAATCCTCAACAAAAGATAACTATATAAATAATAATTTATAATCGCAAAATTTACAATAACTATCCTAGAATTAGTGTCACAAGTCATAAGAGACTAAGAATGAGAATATACAACACATATATGAAAAAATAATATCTATCCTAAATATTTAAAACTGATATACAATTCTCAAATTAACTACTATGAACAAGATGACAACTTGCAAATGCAACACTACTATATCTTTAATGCTTGCTCTAGAACTGTACAATATCTCAACTCTAAAATAGTATGAATACTTCGAAACAATATTTTGTAAGTATTAAGACAACTTCAACGAAGTAGTGGCGAAGTTTTACAAAAGATACTCATTTTAACATGTGCAACTCATATACAAAGCAACAAGAGAGAAAGTTAGTAACAATCAAAGTATATAACAATATGCACAGATAGGACATACGATAATGATGCAACCTATCTCAGCTAAATAAGTTCAACGCATCAAAGCAACATATTTAATGGTATGCACAATCAGCGAGCATTTATATGAAATGCATTGACAATAGCCTAATATCAAATATCTATAATAAAGACTTGACCGTTACATCAAATTAACACTCTCTAAGTGTCCAACAATCTGCTAACAAGTCCTACATATGTGTAAAAATATATAAAAGCATATATGGATGATATACATGAATAAAATATGTAAGAAAGTATGAACAGGCATAAAGGATCACTTAATGTAAATAAATCTTTCACCCTTATGCTCAAACTCATCAATCGATATCATAATCGAGTCAGAAACTTATGGATTTCTCATAAATCCACGTGTATGTCACCAAGTGAGAAACATGGAAAGGTGGCTCATGAGGGATGGATCCTAATTCACAAACAAATAGGAACATAAATTTTTACGTCCTATAGGAACATGATATAATTAATTTTCCCTAACTGATACCTCGATATGAATGAAGCCATACGCCTTTACAGCTCAATAGCTCACTACAACTCAATATATATATATATATATGATTATGCAGTTCTACCATGTAAAATTAGTACATAAAATCCATAATGTTAAGCTCGCGTGTGAAGGATGCCTATAATATTTGTCACGAACCAAATCGATGGGCCGCGACGGGTGCCTGAGTCCTACCTGTCAAACACTCCTAAGCATGCGTCTAAGATATGAACTTGAATAACATCTGCTGCATTACGAAATTAACATACGTGAAGGAAACCTCCATCAAGGCATATGTACGTATACATGCAGAATACAGTGGGCAAGCCGGCAAGGCTGCTATAGACAACTATATATCCAAAACTGAAAGCCGACAAGGCCACATATAACCCAACTAGACATACTGTCTACAGACTTTTAATAGAAACATAGCTGTACAAAGACGGGACTAAGCCACGTCATACCCATATACATGTATATATATACAAACATATCGTAACAAAATCAAAAGCATCTCTGGATCAAATGGAGCGTGTCAACTCTCGCTGATTAGGGATCCTAAGAAGGGGGACTGTCAGCTTGCCTACCTGCACCTGCGGGCATGAAACGCAGGCCCCGTGAAATAAGGCGTCAGTACGAAAAATGTACTGAGTATGTAAGGCATGAAAATTAGTACGTAAAAGACATAGATGAAACATGGAATATAGAAACAACTTTGTAAATTCTAAAACGTCCATAACGTCATGCACATGCATATAAATCTCGTGTCATGCATAGGTATGGGTGTACATAATATCATCAAGCCACTGAGAGCATCCCATCATATCATCTCGGCCACTATGGGCAATATCATCAACATATACCAGCTGATCAGGTGGTGGTGCGTATATAACGCCGTAACCTTTTCCCATATCCTATATACATATATTTACATATATACGCATATATAACACCATCCAGTCATGGGTCAATTCATATGTATAAATGAGTGAAATGCATGAAAAATACGTAATAATCTCAATATTCCTTCCGGATAACTTTTTCAACTGCGTATTATTCTGAGACCCATGAACAGAAGATAATAATAATGGGGAAATCAAGAATATCGACACTCTTACTATTTCTATGAATAGAGTAATTTATGAAAACTATGTATTTGCTCGTTTCTTCAGTATCATATGGACCATGCCAAAAGAAAGAAGGGAGGGCCTTAACATACTTGTTATTGGAATTATTTGAACGAAATTCTGCTTGAAGTCTTGAAATGAAATTTGGTTGCTCTTTGAAATTTTAATTGAAAGGTTGGCTAAAGATTTTGGACGAATTGGTTTTCTGTTCCAACGCTCTTGGTTTCAGCCAAAGCAACAAAATGAAGCTAAAGACACTAAATGAAGCTTAAAGGCAGATTGGATAAGTTTTACAAGTCTTTCTAAGACTTAGTCTTTAAGTCATTATTAAGTTATTCCTTGGTAGCCACCTAGATTTATGACTACTTAGTCATTTTCTACGCTTTGTGTCTTCTTGCCACGTGTGTGTGGGGGGCTTAATTTATTAATAATTTATCCACTTATTAGTTTACTGGGTAATGTTTTGTTACCCGATAATTAATCAATTACCCGCATAATTAAAAAATTACCATAAATTACTTAAAATTCTATTTATTTTTAAAATACTTCATATATACTTTATATATTATACTACCATGGTCATATGGTACCTTGCATGGTACTAGTTCATAATTATTGGGTATTATCGCCCGACCTGTATTTTATTCCAAATTGCCCACTTTCAACGAAACTTGTTTTCTTTAATCCGTATACCCCTTTATCCTTCATAACACTTATTTATCGCTTGTTATAGATAGCGTAAGTACGTTAACGTCAAGATGATCTCATCCCCAAGTCAATGTCAATTAACCGAAGACGAAACTTTTAACGTATGAAAACGCGAGATGTAACAATATTATTCTAGCATGAATAAAATTCTCAAGTAGTCATATAATATTAGTCATGAATACAATATCCTACCATATTAAACTAGCATACGAGAGACACCTATAGTGTAATACTGGCATGTGAAAATGCACTTATAATGATGACATAAGTAAATCAATTAGAGCATACGAAGAGAAGTATATACCAAACAAGGCATTAAAAGCCTAAAATACTAACCCAAGCATGAATAAACCTTAGGATACGCGTATATCTTCGTCACCTCGCATATATGTTACTTCAAAACACGTAGCACGTAACAACAAGATTATTCTTGAAAAAAAATTTCAAGTCAAGGTTAGGCAAGATACTTACTCTTCTTAGGCTAGATCTAATTTTCTAAATTCGTTTTTTCTACTCCAAATTCAGCAAACGAGACCACTCTAGCCCAAAGAGTGTTGCACGATATCAAACAACATCATAGGACTCAATACCATAAGAAAATTATTTTTTGAACAAAGTCAACAAAAGTCAACCTTGGGCTTGTTGAAATGGGTAATCATCTCATCTAAAAGCTTAACCTGGTAGAATGAGCACACTTTTATTTACTTAATTATATCTTCAATACCCCTCCCCCTCACGTGTGGCGTTGATTTTTTTCTGTTGAGCCAAGCACGTGAAAATTCTTTTTTGTTATTGGATGGAAGTGAGACTCGATCCCATAACCTCTACATGCTCTAATACCATGTTAAAGTATGTGTCCATATCATCAAAAAGCTTAAGCTATATCACGACCCAAAATCCACCTAGTCGCGAGGGCACATAACCCTAGTGCTAGGTAAGCTTAACATAGAATAAGGTATATCAAGTAAAAGGTCAATATATAACAATGATATTCGGCTTAAAGTATGTATATTTATATGCATATTGCCTCGCATTTTACTCATGTTTCGTAGATTTCAGATGTGTAATGTAATGATTTGTGCTAATTCATGATATTTTTATATGTAGGAATCATCCGGAGGCAATGTGAGATGATTGTGCGTGAATTGAAGTAAAAATGGAATGAAATGGGAAAAACGCCTCAAAGTAGCGTCCAGGCTAGCATGGGGGGCCTATGGCGTAAAATCAGAACATCAAAATCCCAAGCGCCAGGGCTAGTGCCCCACACTACCTTGGGCGCTGGTGACGGAAATTTCTCCTACCTCAATCGGGACAAAGTTATTTCGATCCAATACACCCCCAAATCGTATAAAAGCAAGCCTAAATCTATTTTGGAGGGGGAGATGCCACTTTGAGAAGACAAATACACATGGGGAATACTCAGGAGCAAGAATTCTCAGTTTTTCTTCATCTTTCTTACTATTTTCAACTATTCAACACTTGTGAAATTGTTTTGATTTTATCATAAGTGGCTAAAACCCATAATTCTAGGGTTGTGATTTAACCATGAATATTTTTGTTTGAAGTTGACTTAACCTTGATTACAGTTTGCTAATATGTGATTGTTTCTTTAATTCTGTGATTAATTTACCAATTGTCTGGCCAAAAGTTAGGTTCTATTTACTATCTATGCTATGCTTGAGAAAGCTACGTCTAGATTAGAGAATAGTTGAAGAGGGCATGGTCTTAACTCTGAGTAAATGGAGGATTTGTGGTTAGGATGGGAATATACCTAGCCACCATGCTCAATTGATATTGTAATCTTAATTTGTTCTTAATAGATTGATTCCATAGTCATATAGGCATTAATCTACTTAATAGGATTTGTGAATCGATCACAATCCTGGAATATTCATCCCTACTGAATACACAATAATTATTTTGTTGCTTGATTAATTAGTAACTTGTTAGAATTATTGCTTAGTATAATCACACGTTTGAACTCTGATTGACTCGACTGAATAATAATCTTGGTGAAACTAGTGGGTAGTTAACACAAGTTTCTATGAATTCGACACTTGATTTATCACTTTATTACTTGTACGACCACGTATACTTGCGTGTGCATTTGGAAGTAACAAATTTTTGGTGCCGTTATCGAGGACTTAATTATTAACTATTTTACTAGGTTTTACTTTAGTTGTTTATTTCGTCAAGTCTAAATTTGCTCTGCTCTCAGGAAATACGCGCCGGAAAGTCCCTCGTAATACCAAGAATATGTTTTACCACTTATCTTAAAATCTAGATTCTCAGATGTCGGCATTGGACTAGCATTAAAATCTATAAATAGAGTGTAAAACAAAAAAACCACTTCCTAGTCCTGTGGCCAAGAATGTGTTTTACTACTTTTCTTAAAAAATCTAGATGTCGGCATTGGACTAGCATTAAAATCTATAAATACAGAGTGTAAAACAAAAAACCTCTTCCTAGTACCCTGTGGCCAAGAATCATGTGTTTTACCACATATCTTAAAATCTGGATTTCCAGATGCCATCATTGGATTGGCTTACAAATCTATAAATACAAAGTCTTTGTAAAACGAAAAACACATCCATAAGCAATTGGAAGATCTGTAAGAGTTTAAGTTAATTGTGTCCACTACTTGTTTCCAAATATTTCCAATTTCAAAAGCGAAAAACCATGGACAAAAATCAGAAATTGAGCTACGATATTGGCGTAGCTAAGGGCCAAGCCCAGGTTTGCATTAATTTTCAGTTTCTCTTCCATGCGATTTTTAATTTTAGTTGGTGATTTCTTTGTATCTATTTAAATATTGATGATAGAATTTACTAATTTCATTCCATCGAGTAGGGGCGCCTTTTAGCCTTTTTCTTGACATAGGTTCTATAAGAGGTTTCCTTTTATTATTATTATTATTATTATTATTATTATTATTATTATTATTATTATAACATTCCGGTTAGTGAGCTTATAGTTAAGTTAATAAAGTTGATGAAAATCATAGAAGGCCATGACATTACATAACAAATAGAGATAAAAAATATTTGTTGGATCTATCTAACCATTAATGAATAGAATTATATGATAATTGCATTGGTGAAAACATTTAATGGATTTCGGAGTATCGTTTTGGAACGAAAAAACTCTTCCTTTCTACATGAAATTTGTCTTAATTTTGTCATTCTAGATCTCTATACGTAAAAGAAGTTTTAATTGTTTTAGCTACTACTTCCTACATATATAATAGTGTGATATTTTTTGAATTTGTGATGCCTCAGGAAAAAGGTAATCAATTGTTGGAGAAGGCTGGGACTGCTGTGCAGTCTGCCAAGGAAACAGCGCAAGAGGTTCGGACATTGTTAATTATTCATTTATCAATCAAACATGATATTTACACAAATAGCCGACCGAATTTACTATTTACTATTCTTATTCGATATACATATATTATATATTTGCCAGTCATTTTTAGTCTAAGCCATTGGGTGGTCGGTTATTTAGGTTAATTCTTCAAAATTTATTTAATATATATATTTATCCAGAGCCCGATAACCTCTTTTTAGTGTTTAATTCCCTTTAACTCAAAATCTTAGCTTTGCAATAAATCTGAATTTTTAAAGCTTATTTATATTAAAAATATTCTTTTTAATTTTGGTGATATTTTGATATAGGTGGGGCAGCAAGTGAAGACCAAAACACTAGAAGCAGCAGATGCCGTTAAAAATGCCACTGGCATGAACAAATAAACCACGTTAATTTCCACCATATTATAGTTTATGAAGATCTTAATTTATTCTACTTCAATTGGGCTACCAATTTATGTTGCTTAAGTTTAAATTATTGGCAGTGGGATTTTACTGGGTATGTTGTAAGTTAAATTTAAATTACTGGTGAGAACTTCTGCGTTTCTGAATTATATTTTAGAAGCAGCGTCTGTAATAATATTGTAATAATGTTTCGTTCTTAATTATAATTGCATATTTCGTAGCACTTGCAGTAGAAGTATGATCCAAATTCACTTGGATGTACTAGCTTTGCTGTTCTTATACCTTCGTGTAGGGGTGTACATAAGCTGAGTTGGTTTGGATTTTCAATTACCAAATCAAACTAATTGTGCCGGGTTATTAAATTTAAAGACCAAACCAAACCAATAAAAGTCGAGTTTTTTAATCTCGAGGTTTTCGGGTTTTTCGGGTTTTTTCCACAAAGTTTTCATAGAGCAAAACATAGAATTTGCGCTCTAAATATTTCTTTAATCCTAGTAAGACATAACTATATAAGGTGTTTTTCAAGAAAATATTAACATAAAATATGAGATACGCCATAGCATTGTACTAAAATATTCAACAATAAAGATAATAAAATGGCATAAAACAAATATTTTTAATAAGCCATAATAAAAATAAACATAATCTAAAATTACTAAGTTGATAAAATAAGTACGACTGATAAGTACTACTATTATTTATATGACTAAACACTGGAAAAAAATAAGTTGTGCAATTTAAATAAACCAAGAAAAAACTAAAAAAATAGATATCCAATACTATTGTCATTTTGTTAGAATTAATATTGATTTGATTTTTGTTTAGAATTTATTTGAGTTACAAATATTTATAGACTATCAAACTTATTGGAGCATTCAAAACTTATAAGTCCAAGTTTGAAATAATACATTAGATGATAAAATTATGAAAAAGTTTAAAAAATATTTATAAACTACATTACAATAAGTATTTTTATGTATTAAATATAGTTAAATCTTATATACATGTAATGTCGGGTTTGTTTGGCTTCAGTTTGACTTTTTTTAGTTAAAATCAAACCAAACCAATTATGGTCGGGTTTTTTTCAACACCAAACCAAACCATAGTCGGATTTTTTTTCTCAGTTTGACTCGGATTTTCGAGTTGGTGCGATTTGTCGGTTTTCTTTGTACACCCCTACGTACTTTTTAAGACCATGATCTAACTTCCATACAATACTAGAACTTTTCTCAAGATTATAACGACAACCTGAAGGAAATAATAATTAATATTCGTGTCAATAATATTCCTTCATCTATTACGGAATTAAATGTTTTTTACATGATAGTTTGATTTATGCGTCGAATAGTATGGAAACAATTTCCTATAACCACTTATGATTTGACTAGGGGAAATGGGCATATGAAAATATTATGTGTTTTATTTGGGGTTTTAACATATTCCATTTCATATAAAGGTGTCTAACTAATAATGGACCACAAATTAAAATTGAATCTCCCGTCAAATATCCTTAGCGCCACAGTTTTCGTAAAATTAAAGTTTTACGGGCAAATTAGGACAATTTCGCAAAGTTCAAGGGTAACTTTAAACTTTTCCCTTATATACAAAAGGACATGTATTGAAAAACTTTCGCTAGTAAATAAGCATATTTAGATTTTAGACCAATTTTATATATAACTTTTGCGGAATATCGTGGGTTAACTAGCACACAATCACACACAAAGAAAATAGAGAAGAAAAATCAACACATGGATTTTACGAGGTTCGGCTAAGCCTAATTTTCGGGGCAAAAACAGAGAGAGTTTTCCACTATGAATGAGAAAAAAAACAAAGTACAATCTCTAGGATCCCCAATTACAACCCTTATATATAGATCCCAAAAGATCCCAAACATATAAGAGAAATGTTTCCCAATTTGATAAGGACTATAGGTTTTCCTTTCAAAAATCTATTAGGACAATGGATTTTCCTAAGCCTACAGGGATTATGGGTTTCCTAAAGTTACAAGGAAATAATTCAAGCAACAAAATAACAAATCTTCCCCTTGGCTTGAATTCTCTTCATCAACAGGAACAACGTCTCTCTACCTTGCCCTTAGCCCTCGCAAGGGCTCTATTCATTGCCGCACACATCAACCAAGTCTAGGCAACGCCTAAACTTGTTAAGAGACTCAATCTCTTTAGCCATAACACTAATCCGTGGATTTGGTTCCGTACTCTGACTAGCTTCTGAGTAGCTATAACAATATCGGTAGGGACAAATTTCATCAAAACTATTGATGGATGACATACTTGGACAATTTCACAAAGTTCAATGGCATATTTAAACCTTATCCCTATTTATTTAAAATGATGGAATAGATTAATTATGATAAAGCCACACTCATTTGCGTTAATTTAATTGGTGCATTTGAATTACAAACCAAACTCACTTATCTTATGGTCATAAGCTTCCATTTTAATTCGCCAAAGTGTGTCATTTATAAACTTGGCGAGCATGTATTGTGTCACGGCCTGCATTCCATCAAATTGTAATGATATCTAATCCAACTCGCAAACCAACCAATACAGGAGTAATCCTCAACAAAAAATAACCATATAAATAATGAATTATAATCGCGAAATTTACAATAACTACCCAAGAATTAGTGTCACAAATCATGATCGACTGAGAATGAGAATACAACACGGATGTGAAAAAATAACATATATTCGAAATATTAAAACTGATATACAAGTCTCAAACTACCATGAACAAGATGACAACCTGCAAATGGAACACTACTATATCTTTAATGCTTGCTCTCGAACTCTACAATATCTCAATTCTAAAATAGTATGAGTACATTGATACAATATTTTGTAAGTATCAAGACAGCTTCAACAAAGTAGCGGCGAAGTTTTATCAAAATATACTCACTTTAACATGTGCAACTCATATACAAAGCAACAATAGAGAAAGTTGATAACAATCAAAGTATATTACAATATGGATAGATAGGACATACGATAATGATGCAACCTATCTCAGCTAAATAAGTTCAACGCATCAAAGAAACATATTTAATGATATGCACAATCAATATTTATATGAAATGCATTGACAATACCCTAATATCAAATATGTATAATAAAAACTTAACCGCTGCATCAAATTAACACCATCTAAGTGTCCAACAATCTTCTAATAAGTCATACGTGTGTGTAAAAATATATAAAAGCATATATGGATGATATACATAAATAAAATTTATAAGAAAATATGAACAAACATAAAGGATCACTTAACGTAAATAAATCTTTCACCCTTATACTCAAACCCATCAATCGGTATCATAATCGAGTCAGAAACTTATCGATTTCTCATAAATCCACGTGTATGTCACCAAGAGAAAAACATGAGCGGGTGGCTCATGAGGGATAGATCGTATTTCACACACACTTGGAACATAAATTTTTTACGTCCTATAGGAACATGATATAATTAATATACCCTAACTGATACCTCAACATAAATGAAGTCATACACCGCAGTATATGATTATGCAGTTCTACCATGTAAAATTATTACATAAAATCCATAATGTTAAGCTAGCATGTGAAGGATGCCTATAATATTATTCTAGCATGAATAAAATTCTCAAGTAGTCATACAATATTAGTCATGATATACAATATCCTACAACGTTAAAGTAGCATACGAGAGACACCTATAGTGTAATACTGGCATGTGAAGATGCACTAATGATGACATAAGTAAATCAATTAGAGCATATGAAGTGAAGCATATACCAAACAAGGCATAAAAAGACTAAAATACACCCAAGCATGAATAAACCTTAGAATACGTGTATACGCTCATCACCTCGCATATATATTACTTCAAAACACGTTGCACATAACAACGAGATTATTCTTGAAACAATTTCCTCAAGTCAAGGTTAGGCAAGATACTTACTCTTCTTACGCTAGCTCTATTCTTCTAAATCTGCTTTTCCTACTCTAAATTCAGCAAACGAGACCACTCTAGCCCAAAGAGTGTTGCATGATATCAAATGAAATCATATGACTCAATTCCCTAAGAAAATTATTCTTTGAGTAAAGTCAACAAAAGTCAACCTTGGGCTTGTTGAAATAGGTGATCATCTCATCTAAAACCTTAACCTGTTAGAATGAGCACACTTTTATTTACTTAATTATATCTTCAACACCCCTCTCCCCTCACGTGCGGCGTTGATTTTTTTTTGTTGAGCCAAACACATGAAAATTCTTTTTTATTATTGGGTGGGAGTGAGACTCGAACCCACAACCTCTGCCTGGTCCAATACCATGTTAAAGTGTGTGTCCATCTCATCAAAAAGTTTAAGCTGTGTCACGATCCAAAATATACCTAGTCGTGAGGCACATAACCCTAGTGCTAGGTAAGCTTAACATAGAATAAGGTATATGTTGGCCCAAGTGAAGGTTAGTTTTGAAGATTGACAAAGGAAGCTCAGATATGAACCAGGTCCATCCCTTAGGTGCATAGAAACGGGCAGGTTCGAGCATGTGGGATGCACGTGAAGGAGATAAACTTAATTTGGTATATTTGATATATCTCCTGATTGAAAAAGTTGTATAATTGATAAGGAGAATGACTCCTTACTCAAAGAGAACATTATCCATGATAGAGAAGGAGTTAGAAGTTGAGATCAACTAGAACTCTTCCACCAAGGAAGTGTATCATTAGAACTCTAGTTATTTCTTCATCTACTAACTCTATATATTGTAGGTTGTTCTCATTTTTACAAGTATGCACAAACACCGAAGTTAAACAGGAATTGAGAGCAAAATAGCAAGGCATTTTGCAAGAAGTTCGTATGAGATTCAAGTGTGCAAACCTGAAGCTACATGAACCAGATATAAGAACTAGTTTCAAGTGTCTGTCTTTTATTCTAGTTCAATAGTAGTAGGTGTTTTCATATTGTACCTTTCAGTTTTATCTAGAGGCAATTATAATAGGTACTCAGAGTATTCAAGTTAGAGTTAACTTGAAGTTGTCGCAACAGTTAGAGGTTGTTTGCTACAACGGGATTAGAGTTAGTCCTAGGTTTACAAAAATATTTTTGTAAATGCAGTTTTTGACTCAGTGATTTAGTGGAGAGTTTGGGAAAATCTTATTGGGAAGTAGGTTGTGGTTTTTGCACGTAAAATACTTGTGTTCTTTACTTTTCGCATTTACTAT